TTACACCCACCAAATACAAATATAATAGTTTATTATTCCCTGTGCTCTAAACTGCTTTGGGGCAAAAGTTTGAGCATAAATGTTCACTTGTATTGATGTAACAAAACATATCTAACCTAATATTAACATTTCAGCTCTGACTAATAACATGCTGAACTTTGCTGGTTTCCATTCACTAACAATATAAAATTTAATGTCTTTTGTTCAAACCTTAAATGAAACAAACTGGAACTAACTTGAAAACTAAGTTAATTACCTGGTAAATTCAAGTAATTATTTCAATAAAATTTCTTACTACTAAATATCTTGCATACAAAAGTTGTGAACCGCTGACAAACTTTAGAGCGGTTTATACAGTCTGTGCGGTAACATTATTTCTATGGAATATATATTAATGTCATATTAAATACTACAATATTTCAACACACAAAATAAGTCCCTGACCATGGATCACAGCATTGAAGGCACCAGGTCAACAAGTATTGATTTATAAATACAGTATAATCATAAACTGAAAGCTGTTTGTGATATTACCGTTAACACATTGCCATAATCGTTTAATATTTCATAATTTAAAGTGGAAAATGCTTCATTTGTGTAATTGCCAACCATCATGTGACATACTTTGGCAAGTACTGTACTTCAAGTGCACTACAGAAGATTAACACTAAAGCATTTAACATATTAAAAAATTCCACACAAAACCAAATCCTCTCACTGGGATGTTCCCATATGGAATAAGCTCTACAAATTTGTACAGTAGTTCCCTATAGCAAAAATTATGCACAAATTCAGCTGCGTAACATATAAAACTAAATGAATGTTGTTTCACAGGATTTTTAGATAAAACCTTTACAAATGTTTAAAATATAATTTTAATTGCAGTTCATATGTAAAGAATAATTCTGGAATGAATTTGATTACCATACTGTATAAATCAGTCAAAATATAAAATAATAAATTTAAAAAATGGAGACTGAAGTACAGAAAACCACATGCTTCTTGGACACTATATATCTGGATATGCCAGTTATTCAATTTGGATTTGTCCATATAAAATTAGTGATAAACTGGTGATGCGAGCAGGCAGTCTGAATAAAAATATGCAATAAATTGGTGAGGTGTGGGTGTACACCAAACATCACTGACCACCCGAGAAATGTTGGCAGTAAAGTGGTGGAGATGGGGAAGAAAAGGGGAGGGAATGGGCCTAGTTTGCTTACCAACCATACCAGGTATCACATGACTGCCTCCTAACTATGTGATGTCATGGATTCACATCCCATTGTTTTGATTTGTCATGAGGCACTGGAGCATCCATTCCTATGATTTCGTTGGATATGTGGACAAAATTTTGGAACAACGCTGCACCATGTTTGCTCCAAATGAAGACATTTTATCAGTGAAAACTTTTACAAGAATGATAAGTAGGAGAAAAAGGTCAGTGATGACATCTGAGAAGAGAGTTGAACTAATTAAGAAGGTAGCGAGTGTGATCCCAAAAAGTGTTGAGTGCACTGAATATCAAGTTAGCAAGACTACACTTTCAGACATCATTAAGCCTAAATCTATCATCTTTGACTACTTTTCTAGAAATGAAAGTGATAAAGAAATACAAAACAAAAAGGCAGGGAGTAAAATTAAGGTGCAGAGTGTTGATAATGCAGTATGAGCAGATCCAGCTTTAAGCCATATAGACCAAGTGCTCCCAACTGAGCACTTGTGAGCACTTACCATGTTAGAGTAATCTACTCTAGTCTTGTCAAGTAAAACTGCCTTCTAACAGATCCAAACCAGTAAAAGCTTGTCATAACCCAACACAAACTTGCAAGATAATGTTTAAAACAAGTGGTTTTGTAACAAATGTACTTTAAAGAAAAAAAAGTGCTCTTAGACATTTTATTTACTCTAGTATTTTTTTCAGTGAATTGGTATAAATAACTGCAGTGATAGGGCTATTAATTTGTTTCCAACAATGCTGTTCACTTACATTTTTAATGTTTTTTTCCCAAACAAAAAGTATAATTAATATTTTAAATAAATAATTTCTCTAAAACAGATCTTATCTTTAAATCTGGGTGACTCTGACAAAAATGTTCCCAAATGGCCCCAGCAACTCTCCTGATTGTGGGAATAGTACAAGCAAAAACAAGAGGAGATTAAAAAGTTAGTGGCAGGCTCGGTGCTCATGGAAAAAAATCAAGGATTTCACAAATCAATGAAAATTCCTGAGCAGTGCAGATGATAAGTCAAAATCAACTGGCTGAAGATATCATTTTCCAAACCACATATCAGAAAATGAAGAAATGACATCATTTTGGTTCATCCTACATCATTATCAAGACTTTATAATGGTCCAAAATGGACTGAAATATTGTCATTTCTTCATTTCCCATCACTGTTTATACAATGATGGATGACTCAGAAGCTTTAAGCTCTGCCGTGACATTAGGTACTTTGAAGTACATAGGGAAAACCATTCTAATTCTATTGGTGCAGAAGAATATTTAAATAAATTTGTGGAGATGTTGCATGATGAAAATTTATCTCCCGAGCAAATTTATAATGCTGACGAGACTGCTTTGTGCTAACGTATGTTAGCCACAGATACTATAGCTCACAGAGGTGAAGATGATCCTTCTGTGGGGTTATAAGCAGAGCAGACAGACAATATCTGTGATGTGCTGTGCAAATGCAAATTACTTGTGATTGAGATTATCAAAAATCCCAGCAGTGTTGCAGTTACTATGCAACACTGCTCCTATTATCAGATTCCTATCGCTAAATCATGAATATGAACAATTTTCCACAAATTTATTTTCTAAAGGAATATGAGGTCATGATTAATGATGCATAATTGCACAAAACCATAGCTATATGCTGTGAATGTCTACCATCTGCTGTGAACATCATAGCCAGCATTGTGTTCACTGATACCTGAACCTTGGACATAGTCTTTATCTCAGTCAGGATCTACTATGGCAATAACATCACAAGATAATTAATAACCAGTTCCTTATTTATTTCATCATTATTAAGTGATACTGTGGAGATAAGTTGCACAGCAGTGCTTTGAGCTGCAGCTCTGTGTACTCCTCTTGGATATTCTCAGGACTGAGGCCCTCACACCCAGAGGGGTGCCCACTATTTTTTTTAAGATAGTATCTGTTTACTGGAGACCTGAGGAAGCAAATGTTAGCCCAGTGTGGTCATGGGACTTTTAAATCCTAAGTTACACCCAAAAAATCCTTCATCACTCATGAAGCAACCCTGGTCGCTGTGCACACATCAAGGGAAAAAGACTTTTTGCAAAAGGTTCCAAGAAACCTCTCAATGAACCACCTACAAGGGGTTTGTCATATAATAACGAAATTACTTCAACATCTGAGTGTACCTCATTAGCATTAACCACTCTGCTCTGCCACTATTAAATATGACAAGCCCCTCGTGCACAGAAAAAATATTCCCCCCAATATTTTTTTCTGTTATTATACTATATACATATGTTATATATAACTATCAACATTTTTGTGCACCATAACAAACCACTAAGATGATCTGTTGAGAGTTTATAGACTCATAACAACGATCCAAGGTCAGCCTAGCCCCCAACAACTTAGTGTGGCGGGGGTTGCCGCACATTCAGTTTTACATAATTATTTTGAACTCTTTGAATTGTTATATAATTAGTTTTCTGCAGTAATATTATTCAATAGTATGTAATTTTAGGAATTTATATAGTTTAATGTGTAGAACATCGCTATGCTTAAAAATATGGTGCTCATAATTGTGGCATTATATTTTAAGATCAATAAAAGTGTTTTTGCTGTTATTACACTATATACACACGTTATATACATCTATCTATATTTTTATAAACCATAAGAAACCACTAAGTAATTCGGGAGAGTGGGGTAATGAAATGTTAAGAGTATAGAGCTAAATGCTATGACCAGGTGACTCAAGTAGCCTACATCACCTGATGGGGCAAAATACCCAGAAACATACTACACACATTGCTAGTATTATTACAAACACTGATATTATTATCAGATTTCTGTACTACATCATGAATATTAATAATTTTCTGCAAGATTATTTTCTAAAAGGGCACATGAGGTGCCCTTGCATGATGCTTAGATTCACAAACCTTGGCCTTGTGCTGTAAATGTCTGCCTTCTGCTGTAAACATCATAACTAGCATTGTATTCATTGATATCCAGATTTTGTACATAATTTTTATTACAGTCAGGATCATCTATAACACTATCATCACAAAATAATTGCAGTTATTTATTTTATGCAAGATTATTAAATGTGGTCTGGCCCTGACTTGTGCAGTTTGCGCTGTGAGCTCCAACTACATGTGCCAACCTTGCTGCTCCGGCAGTACTGAGGCTCTCACAGCCAGGAGAGATGCAGAAAATTTTCTTCAAAATGCCATCTGTTTAGTGGAGTCCTGAGGAACAGGATGTGAGCCCTGTGTATTTGTGGGAGTTTTGAATCTTATGATGTACTAACTAATGTGATATGCTGGTGTGTGCATCCTCTTTCCCCATGATATCATGGTGTGCACAATACAGTGATTAATCTCCAATTCAGGTACCCAACACCATCAACATCTACCACCACCTTTACTATCTAAACAACTATGCACCATTGGCAATAATCTTCAAGTAATAAGTGGATCAGAACTTCTTGTTGAAATTTTCCCATAAAATTGTAGAATTTCTTCTCATAGATAAGATTTTCTGAATGACGAATCACTTATCCAAACAAAACAGGTTATTCGTTCGGTCTCAGTCCCGAAGTACCCAGAAAGCATGTTGTCATCTATATTTATTGGAGTAATCATATTAACGATGACCTTAAAGCTGTAAATATTGAATATGGAATATAGAAGATATTACATCTTGTCATGGTGAAATACACAACAGGGCAAGAGCTCTTTATGTTGTCTGTTACTATGTCAATACTCTATGTCAATATTCCAAATTTTGTTACAAATATTCTCTTCTAAACTCTTATGCATTATATATATAAGGATTAAAATCTTTGACAAATTTACAAATCCAAAATCTTTTCTTAGCAGCAGTATATAATTTAACTGTCAAGAGTTGCAAGTACCCATAATGACCCTACAGTACTGCATATGATGCAACTGTTTTCCTTTAATAAAATACTTTGCTCATTCATTACATGGAATGATAAGAAATAATTGAACATTAATTTTAAGTGTACAAGGAAAATGTATGAAAATAAATAATTCATGTACTACTTATAAATACAAAGGAAATATGCACTCTATACTCACAAAACACTAGAAATGCATCCATGACAGCCATCAGACTTGAGATGGAATGATGATTATGTTTTAAAACAAATAACTTAAGGAAGACTTTAACAATATCCTAAGTACCATAGATGCACAGAAGATAGTCAAATGCAACTGGTATGTGTATAGACTTTACTGTGAAGCAGATGAAAATTATCACAGAAATGGCAATATCAGTCATATTTCAATTTATATTTTACCAATAAAAATGTAATTTAATTCAAGGTGAATCTTTTGCATTTTAATGTAAGGAGAAGCCGATATATTATTTTCCTTCTTAACCCAGTCAATACATTAAACATGTTATTTATCTGAATATTTAAAGCACTTCCATTATATTTTGGCTTGAGGAACTGTACAGTAAATCAACTAACACCCCGATTACATATGTGATTAGATATGAAATTTGTGCTTAAGGGAGTGGAAAGAAATGAAGTGGTTGGGTAAAATAGTTGCAACCACCACCAGCCACACTCCAACTAATATTTTATGTGTGCTCACATATGGACGGGTTATTACAACTACTGTACATAGTTTCCAGGGTCAAAAGTTCACAATATAGGGTGCAGGTCAAAGTACTTGCTTCATCACTCAATATCAACAGTATAAGTGAAATTTCCATTCTTACTCCATACATTTCTATATATATTAGAATTTGTAGGCATTAATACCAATTAAACTAATGCTTGCATCACCTCTGGAGAGTTATATCATCATTTATATTATTTTCCAATAACTATAATTTCTTTATATGTACTGTATGTTTCATTGTTTCTCGATAAAGCGTGTTTATTGATTTAATAAACAAGTGATTAACAGTTACATATGCAGTAATTACCTATAACTGAGAATATCTTTAACAACACAGTACATTACTATTAAGGGTGAGCCTATGCATACGAAAAATATTTATAGAATCTTTTTAAATTGATAATTTGGATTTTTTATGAATAGAAAGTAAGGACAGATGTCTGATTGCCACGGATTAATATAAATGGAGGCATATTCCGAGTTAAAGTCTCGAGCCAAGCCATATACAGAGGGGCAGAAACTGAAGATTTACGAGGCATTGGTAGAGTCCTGAAAAGCAGAAAGAGGAGAGTATTAAAATCACTTAATTTTGTTCTGGAACTAATTGGTTGCTCAGCAAATTTGAAGCTAAGCCTTGTAATTTAATGCAGGTGGCACATGAATAAAATTTTCTAAAAGAATTACATACACTCGGATGTATAAATTTAATTATGAGATCAGGAATAAACAGTAAAGCAAAGATAATGTACACAGACACAAATGTGTTGGAGAGCTGTGGGTATGAGTGAATAAAGGAAAATTCAGGATAAGTTATCATGCAGTTCACAGTTATCAAAAGTGCAAGCAGGCTTCAAAAATTTATTTAACATATAATGCCATACATGAAAGATTTATTACAAAAATAGAGGGTCATGGTATTGGAGGGGGGGATATGAAGTTGGATTAGAACATGGTTATACCAAAGGAAAGAAAAGAGTTAGTATAAATGGAGTTAAGTCCGAGTGGGAAAATATTGTAAGTAAAGTGCTTCAAGGCTCTGTCCTGGGATCTCTGTTATTCATAACATATATTAATGATTTAGATTCATGGCTGAGCAGCAATATTTGTTGAGAATACAAAAATTGGGAGGAAAGTAAACTCAGAAGAGTTAAAATTCCTTCAAAACAATGTAGAGTTTTGAAATGGTCACAAGACTGGTAGATGCAGTTTAATGCTGACAAATATAAGGTTATGATGATGGTAATGATGATATAGTTCATCATCAGTATACAAAGACATAAATCCTTATCAGCTAGATGGTGTTGAGATTGTGAAGATTGATTGCAAAATGAATCTGGGGCTTGTGATTAATAAGAATATGAAAAGAGCTTGAAAAAGCTTCCTCTACATTTTCTAGAAAGTTAGGGGTGACATGGCTGAAGTGTACAAGTGGATGGATGATCATAATAAAGGGGATATTAATAAAGTATTGACAACTGTACTGCGACAACCGAGAAAACATGGTCAGTGGGAAACTGCGCCAACCAAGAAAACACCTTTTGAATATGTTGTACCCATTCAAAATGTGTGTGCGGTAGGTTGTGTATGAAATGGACTCTTGGGACCTCCAGTGAGAGGCAGCCATATTGGAAAAAATTCCCAGAATGTCCTAGGGCTTCTGGTTGGCTTAGTACTGAGTGAGCAACCATGGGTGACACACGTGTCTCTGGCACCCAAACACCTGTCTGATGCGGTGTTGAAAGATTGCTCTCTGTTGGTGAAATTCAGACCTTATTGTTTGAAGAACATAAGGTCTGATATTGATGAAGCTAGGCGCAATAAGGACCTAACACAAAGGTTGGATGCAAGTGATACAGCATCGGTGAGGACGATATAGCGAGCGTATCCAGTTGTAGCTTTGAGCGCCACTCTGCCCACCCATGCCATCTCCAATTTTTATAGATGATACATAGATGAATCGTTTTCTGGGTTTAATGATGATGCATCTGATACAAGTAGCATAGATGAACAGTGTTAGTGGCTTCCATGGTAGTGTTTTCCATAAATATTTTGAAGAATAGCTAGATCTCTTCCAGAATGGCTGAATCTCTTCCTGATTGACTGAATCTCTTCCAGAATGACTCAATCTCTATCAGACAGAGACCTTACAAGGGTCCGTCTAATTACCCGATAATTACTCAGTAATTAGACGGACCTCCTTACAAAGCGGTCTTTCACGACTACCTTACAAATTGATCTTTCCTATAATCTTTTCAAGACTACCTTACACTTCATAAGCTTGGCTACATACCACCTACAGGTATTAAACTCAAGGGTGTACGTGAGTGCTTTATTTGCAAGCACACAGAATGTAGAAACAGGAAGTGAAAATCTATCTGTACCTGGTGCAAAGACAGCGAAGTCGCGCTGTGTACCATGAACTATTTCATTGATTATCACTCACTTCCGAAGTACTGAATGTGTAATACAGTGTGCTACTGTGTAAATAGTGTGTGAAACTGTACATATTGTAATTTTAGTGATTTTTTAACAAGTAATATTGCAACAATAAACATTTATTGTGGACACATTACTGACACATGTATCACAGTGCAATGGAACATTATGAACATTCCACTGTATACATATTGTAATGGAAACAAATATGCATCATATACGATAAAAAAAACAAAAAAACAGCGTTGAATGTAATGAAACGCCATTTTCTGGGTGAGTCCCGGAGGCTCCCCGGAGCTATCCCAGGCTGATATGCTAATGTCAGACTTTGGCATCAGTCATGTGTATGGAGTTCTTAGGCCTACTGGGGACCACGGCCAGAACCGGGCCCCCTCAGAGAGGCAAGGGGAGTAATGGCCTATAGAAACCCCCGTGTGGTTGGAAGCATTCTATGTCTGCCATCGACCGGAACAGGCACCCAGAAAGGTAAGCGCCTCAAAACAAACCCCTATTCTGGTTAAAATTGCTACCAAAAGTCGAACTAGTGGATAGAACTCATCGCCTCAAAACAAACCCCTATTCTGGTTAAAATTGCTACCAAAAGTTGAACTAGTGGATAGAACTCCCCAACCGAAAACAAGCAAATTAGTGTGACATCACACACCAGTTTTGTAGGTTTATTTAGATGAATTAGGTAAATTAGGTATAAAAATTTAGTTTGATGTGGGGTTTTTGGGGTAGCCGCACCGCTGTCTGCGCAGCTCCCCCGTCCCCGGAAGGGGGAAAGGGGAGCCCCAGACCCTCCACGCCGGCTACCCACACCTCAGTTCTTGAGGCTGGATGTCAAAAACGCGAAAAACAGCCGACCGGACGGAGGGAGGGATGCCGGGGAGCCTCCGGGACTCACCCAGAAAATGTCGTTTCATTTCATTCAACGCTGGTTTTCTGGGGGGAGCCCCGTCGGCTCCTCGGAGCTAACTACCCACAGACGGAAAAAGAGGGACGTACCCGGGAGACAGTCGTCACTCACTCCTCAACTCGAAGCCGAGACAACTGGCTGCAACCGCCGACCCAAAGCAACACAGGCCCGACGAGGCCCAGGGACATTCACAAGGTAACGAGCAGCCAGGACCCTGTTCGACTGCCAAAATCCCCGCGCCCGAATATCAGACCAAGACATATTCCCAAAGACGGCAGCAAGAGCCGCGAACTTACGAACGTCATGGGCACGGGGATAGATCGCAGGCTGGCTGGACTTAATAACCCTGCGGACGACCTGGGAGACCCGAACCCGCGAACAGGGAAGAAGGGAAACTGGATCAACCCACAGCGCATCCGCGGACACAGAAGCCGTGGCGCGCAAATAACGGCGAAGCGCCGCAACCGGAAACAAAACATGATGCACCCCCGGCCTGACCAACCAAGCATCAACCACCCATGGACCCCTCCAGAACGCAGCAGTCTCATTCTTCGCCAGAAAAGAAAGAGACTGCTGCAAACGAACAAAACAATCACCATGACCAAAAGAGCAGAAACCCCTGTGCCAAGGAGAGCATGAAGCTCCCCTACCCGACCCCCAGAGGCCAAAGCCAACAAGAAAAGTGCCTTGGAAAAACAATCCTGGACCGAAGGGGCCACAACAAAGCGAGGAGACGAAAGGAATGCAAGCACTCTGTCCAAAGACTAGGACAGCTCAGGCGACGCATGAGCAGGCCGGAGGTGAAACAATGCACGAGACTGCTCGCGAAACGGCGCAGACGTAACATCGATACCGAAAGCAAGCTGAAGCGGCTCCGCCAGCGCCGCACGATACGAGGCGACAGTGTTAGGCATAAGATGACGGTCCTGAAACAACCACGAGAGGAAGGACAAGACCACCCGAACAGACAAGGAACTAACACGACGAAGACGCAAAAAGAAACAAAAGGACCGCCAGGAAACTTCATAATGCCGCCGAGAAGAAGCCCTCAGGTGGGACACCAACAAGGAGGCCACTTGATCACCTTAGAGATGATGATAGACTCGAGTAAAAAAACCCATATGCGAAGACTCGAGGAGAAGATCGAACCAGCCACGTGACGGACCGGCCCGATCTGCTGAAAGAGGCGAAGCCGCGGGAAAACCCTCCGGTTCGGACACCGAGCAACCAGCGCCTGAAACCAAGGCTGGGCCGGCCACCAAGGGGCCAGAAGGACAACTCTCCCCTGGTAAGTCTCTAAGCGAGTCAGGACCTGGAGCAACAGCCGAACTGGGGAAAAGAGGTACAGGAACCCCCACCTCGACCAGTCGAGCCAAAAGGCATCGACCCCTACGGCCTCGCGATTGGGGAAGGGCGCCGCATAAACGGGAAGACGCAGCGACCATGCCGACGCGAAGAGGTCCACCTCGGGGTGCACGAACGTCTGGCAAAGCCAACGGAGGGACTCGTCGTCAACCGTCCACTCCGTGGAGAGGGGAACGAAGCAAGACAGGGCGTCGGCCAAGACGTTGGACACACCCCGTACGTGAACCGCCAGGAGAGCCAAACCCCGAGAACTCAGCAGACGAGTCACCCGAAGCGACCAACCCCAAAGAGACAAGGACCGCATCGAACCCCCGCGGTTCAGGCAATGAACCACCGGAGAGCAGTCCGAATGGAGCCGAATCGTCGATCCGCTGGCCACCCGAATCCTTCCCAGAGCAAACCACACTGCCGCGAACTCCCGCACCGTGCTGTGAGCTCGACGGAAGGACGGATCCCAACGCCCTTGGCCGGCCTGGTGAGCACTGGTCACAAAACCCCAGCCGAGAGACGACGCATCCGTGTACACATCGAGCGAGGGCTCGGGGAGGCACCAAGGCACTGAACTCCGAAAAAAACGAAGAGGAAGCCGGTGACGCAGCAACCGACGCAAGGCCCCCGGGGGTCAAACTCTGTGATCGCGAGAGAGGCGGAAGGGGGAACCCTGAAGGAACCAGAACAGCCGTCGAAGCCAAACCCGACCCGGCGGGTAGACCACCATCGCGAAATTCAGGCTCCCGCACAGCCCCTCGAGCAACCGTCGGGTGACCCGAGGGCCCTCCAGAAACAGACGAAGGTGGGACCGCAGCCGCAGGAAAGACTCCGGAGGGAG